AGGGTGTTCACCCTGTTCAGATAAAATCAATGTGGAGATAATTCCAAAGCATCCCTGGACTATACTAGTAAAACATAAATCTTGAAATGTACTAAGGTAGGTTGAAATGTCATGTGAAACTGAGTAAACTATTTCTTATACAGGGTCACTAATATTGCCTGTCCACTAAGGTGTAAGACAAATGCATGAAGGAGACTCCTGAGTTAGGAGCCAGAGACATATGAATAAGAACCATCCTTACTTCATGGTGGAAACTTTGGCTCTCTTCACCTCCAGCAGCCATTGCTTGCTCCTTAAATACTCTTTTCTTCCTTGACAAGAACCCAGGAAGGCTACTCTAATACAAAAATCCACTGATACTTAAGCCTTGCTCATATCCACCTAACCATCTGTAGACTATAAACAATACAAACAGCAGAGGACTAGCAGTCAAACTTTACTGTTTCACTATAAAATGTGCTTCTTATTCTTCCACAGAGTACTTTAGTGAAAAATAAGAGGGGGAAAATCACTTAAAAATAGCAAAAACAATCATTAGAACCCTGTCTGAGGCATTTAAATAATTTCCAACTCAAAGTAGTAATACCTCTCTCCATAGAAATTAGGTATGGATATATTTTCTTGGAGACATTTGAGAAACTGCCTTGTTAATTTTTATTCTCTCTCTCTCTCTCTCTTGTGTGTGTGTGTGTATTGCACATTCTCCCCTTTTAAGTGTATCAACCATTTCTAATTTGTGAACACAGAGATAAGAAAGAACAACAAACATTTTAAAAACAAATTACAAGAAAGGCTTGGTGTAACAACAGAGAAGGGTTGAAAAATTCCCAAGAACTTGTATAGAGAAGCAATTCAGATAAATTGTGAGACTTTTAAAGAAACCATTTCTAATCTGTGTGAGAGACATGAAATAGCATTCAGTCATCCTTCATAAAATCAAGCATGGTTGCATTTGCTTCTACCACCCTCTCTTTATCTTCCTTTGACACTTGCAGGTACAATATTGCATGTTTATTTATTTAATTGAAACATGTCCTATAGGACAGTTGAAGACCAAGCATACCCAAGCAATGGTTTCAGGAACAATGAATGGTAGAACTCTATAGGTGCCCATGAATCTCTTACCCAACTGCTGTTGTAATACTATTGATGGCTTGCACCTCTAGGGAATTCAAAGGAAATAAAGCAGTTGATAGACAAAAAATTAAATAATAGTTTCACAGATTAGTTCACATGTCCATGGATATAATGGGGATGTTATTAATGTAGCTTCCCAGTGTGAGTCTTCTAATTGAGCTGATATGATATGGAGAGATAACATACATGACATCCAGGTCTGAAAACAGCCATATAGAACATATAAGTATGACCTCACTTAGATGGGTAGCACATAAATAATTATTTATTCAACAGAAAATTTCTAGTTCTCAGAGACTTGCCTAAATATAGGCAAATGGATTTTTAGGGCTGCGTGGGGAGAGTTAAAAAATGTTAGACTATCCACCAAATTAAAGGAGATATAAAAGAGCTGTGGCATAAGTAAATATCCACCATAGAAGTGAAAACAGAAAGAAGCAGAATTAGAGGCTGCTCTTTTCTGCCTATTTTCTTTATATGGGTCTGCCACATGAAGAAGCATATATTTGGAAAGGTTTAACAAGAACATAGAAAATATAGCATCCTTTCAAATGTATCTGATATAGGCAGAGATGATGGTTCAGACCTACGAAGAATCTGGTACTTTTCTCTGAGTTTTGAGGCCAGTATAATTTATAATGGGATCAATCAGCCAGGGTTACTTAGCAAACCCTGTCTACAGAAATTGTGTGATACAGGTACCACTTGTTCTTTCTCTGTCTAAAGAGTCCATTTACAATCTTTTACAGAACTTTGTCTGCATAGAGCAGTTACCTATTTTGAGGAAAAGAAACAAAGCAATCATCTCTCATAGAATTAATTAATAAGACACAAAATTCTAAGAACTATTTAGAAACATGTTAGCTTCTAGAAGCCTCTGGAAACGGTTTGCAAATTAAGTTCTGTACAGAACTTGCCATCTTCTCCCTGATGCTGTGAGTAGACTTCTGTTGCTGTAACACAATTGAGTAAGTGCATATACCAAATAGATCTTGTCACCATCTTAACACTGGCTCTTGCTTCTAGCTCTGATGGCATTCAGCGTAGGAGAGTGAGGCTTACTAGATTTTTACCTGGTGTGTGTTGTGAGGTTATGAAGAAATTCTGATTTAGCCCTGAGACTACTTACAAGAGTATACCAACTTGGCATTTATCAACCACTTTGTCCATATGCCCAGGCTCATGATCTGCATAACCTATACATCTGGGTAGGACAGCAGTAGAATATGTGCTATGCAGAGGGCAAAGACTGGCTTCATGCATTTCCCTATATGATTATCCATAAGTACATATTAGTGGATGAATAAACTGTACACTCTCAGTTGGCTTTTAACTCCATTTTTATCCATCAATATCATGTCAACAAAATATGGTGGTTGCATATAAGGACTCCAGTAAGAAAATATTTCAGTGTAAATAGTCTTTCTTTAAGTATCATTTCACTGTTAGTTGTGCTTAGGACTAAATTTCAGCATGACTTTCATTTTGGTGACAGGAAAATATGCAGGCAAGGAAAAACGTGATTAATACAGCCTTTTATAGAGTCATAAAATTCAAAATTAGAAACTGGACAACAGACAAGGAGGAAGTGAAGGAAATAAACGGTCAAAGTCTCCCCTTTTATTAGATAACCATTCTCCATATTAAAGAGAAAAAATTAAACAGGATGTGCTTGTTAGAATTGCTTTAAAATGAATCACTAGCAAAAGATAAAAATATTCTAAAAGAGAAAGAGGGTGTGTCAAAATTTATAGAAAATATTAAGGAAAGAACATATATTTAATACAATATCTCAATGTTGTAGTCTGTTCTATATTCCATCCTTACCTCTGTAGCTTTGAAAAGGAAGAAAAGCTACTGATGGGCAACTGGATGACACTAGCGAGGACGTTTAACCTCCTTATCCATGGCAATGATGGACAGTCAGAGGTAGGATACTTCCTAAGAAGATGGATTGTCTATCAACTGTTAAGTACCTGCTTGGCAAATCAGGTATGCCCTGCAATGGAAATTGACCAGTACTTTGTCTTTCAAGGATCTTCCTTCAAGTATTACCCAAGGACTGAAGTGGTTGGATGGTTTATCCCTTGTCTTATCTTGGAGGTGGTTCCAAGGAATAAAAAAGACTTAAGAATATTGTTACCATAAATGACCAAGATTGTCCAAGATTGACCATCCACAAACTCAAGATGCCTCTTCAAATAGATTATATGGTTTCTTGCCAAAAGAGCCCAAAGCCTGAGATGCTTTACTACTTTATTTAGGCACATGAGTCAAGTGCATGCAGCACCACTGTGTACATGGGAGCAGGTACAGAGTGGAAAATGTAAAGTGTGTCACATACTCTTCTGTGAAATCCTCTCATCTAGAGATGACCCCACTGGCCCATGCAACAGCCAGTTACTTGCCTCTTGGGAAATATCTCAGCTGAGGAATGAACTCATTATCTGTGTTCTAGAATGGGAATCCTACTAATCTCTACATTTGTCCTTTACTGGACCTTTCTTGATTGGATGAACTGGGAAAAACTTACTTGATATTTCTCATTTTTTATGTAGCTATTTTTCTTTCTTTTTTTTTTCAGTTTTCCTACAAGCTCAGTTACGATGGTCTAAGCCTTTTCATGGAACCAATTTAGACTTTTATTTGAATTCTGTTTATGCTGACTACACACAATAGAAAAAAGTGAGCATTTTTGAAATAATATAGCTAGCATGTTCTATTAAAAAGGAGAAAAGAGGTGGCAAGTTATAAGAACAGCTACTTCCTCATAGCTTTCTTAAAGCCTCCTGCTATCAGGGCACTTTATCCATGCTTAAAAACAGCAAGCCAAGAGAGGAGCAAAGTACCTGCTAACTATTCTGTCACTCTATATTGGAAAGTACTGACTCTCTATTGAAAGGATGATGAATGGAGTCCAGGGTTACTTATGGTGTAGACATTAAACTAACATAAATAAACTTATCTGGTTACTCATCAAATGTCACTAAGACTAGCAGGCCAGAAGTGTCTCCCTTGACTTGGGTCCCCCAGCAGGTTGTCTTTATAACCTTAGCCTTCCAATTAAAGTCTGTTTGTTCTCATAGATGTTATGAAGAGCTGCCTTCCTATGTTCCAGGCACACCTGTAGCTTATCTCAACTCAGCTATCAAGGAATCTAATTTTCTCACCTCTTTATAAAGTCAGATTCTTCCAGATATTTCAGTCCTAAAGGGAGAAAGGCTACAGGCAGGACAAATGATTGTTGCCTTGCCAAAGGTCACATACTCACTAGGCTCTTTGATCTTTTAGCCATACCTTAGGACAGACAGTCCTGGATACTTTTCAAGTACCTGATTTAGACACACACACACACACACACACACACACACACACACACACACACACTTGCTTTCCCTGGGTAGATTCACTTTCCTTCATATTCTCCTGCTTTATTGGGCTCCCTGATAAATTCATCACTTAAAAAATGATCTGATAATATCTTCCTTTGATAGACACAGACACACACACACACACACACACACACACACACCTTTTCTACTCTAAAGCCATAATAACTAATAATATTGTATTGGGCAGGAAGAGTTGTTAAAGGCAAACACCACAGAGCTCAAAAGTCTAATAGAAGATGCCAAGATCAAGTGCCGGAGAAACTGTGGAGTGAGGTTTGGAACTGGATTACAAACCTAGAATGTGCATATGTGTAAATGTATCTCTTCCTTGTTTACAATAGTGAAGTCTGTGCCTCCAGTGATCATTTCAAAATGACACATATGTGAGTTGATTAGAGTAGCCACAGCTATATGATCTCCTGAGCTAGGTCAAGGAGATCAGTGCTCTTTGTGGATGCATGTGTGTTCAGAAATTCAATGGTAAGTGAGAGAAAGAAAATGTTTAAATTAAAAGAAAAAAGAAAAGAGAAAAAGAGGGAAAAGTCAGCCAAAAAAAAGGACCATGTGTCCCTGCAGTGGCTTAGATGAAATATTCCTGTTTGCACTCGGTGGCTGTGTTTTGCAAGTCAATCTCATTTCTAAAGGAACTGTCCACATTTTCTGGGTATTCTTTCTTCATCTGATTGGTGCGGTGTGACTGCTTATGTTGATAGAGGAAGCGGGTCATGATTCCAATGACACACAAAGTAATAAATGTCACCACTGCTATGACACCTGTAGGGAAGAAATAGAAAAAGAGAAGACAGTTGTCACTGAGAAAATTCAGTCTCAACAAAGGCGTACTTTTGAGGGGAGAAAAAAAGACAAGGCCAATACACAACCCCAAATCTATTCTGTATCCAGATATAAAGGCCTGCTCAGAAATTCTTGGTTTTCATTTCTAGAAAACCACCTGGAAGCACAGTACTGAGGGGTAAAATTTATTTTTTCTAGAAAGTTATGTTGATAACCAAAGAAGGAATATGGAGTTAGAACAACAAAGGAATTGTGTAGTTTAAGAGTTATATGTTGGTTTTGTTGCTAGGGATCAAACACAGATTTCACAGATTTTAAATCCATCAAGCCTTGCTAAGAATCACTTGATATAAATATCAACTCATTTTTTGTCTGTCTCTGCTTCTCTGTCTCTTTGTCTCTCTGCCTCTGCTTCTCTCTCTCTATCTCTGTCTCTCTCTGTCTCTATGTGAGTATGTGCACGTGTGTGTGTGTGTGTGTGTGTGTGTGTGTGTGAGAGAGAGAGAGAGAGAGAGAGAGAGAGAGAGAGAGAGTGAGAGTGTGTTCATGTGTCATGGCTGTCATAGGATTTGTGTTTATGACAAAAGACAACATTTCAGAAGTCTGCTCTTGCCTTCTACTTTGTTTTGAGGCAAGGTCTCTCTTGCTGTCTCTGCCACTTCACCACCTTCACCTACATAGAGAGACTTTCTTTCAAAATAAATAAACAAAAAATCAACCCAGTCAGCAACAAACATTGTATACACAAAATTCATGATGAGTATCAACAAAACACTGAAGATTTGGTCATCAAAATAATTTCATTTCTAGTAAAGTATACATATTTGTATATTTCATATGTTCTAAATTGTCTAACTGAGAAACTACCTATTTTATTGCTGGCGATTGTTCAACTTTGACAAAAATTCCTTGGTCTAAATGTCATTATTCATGTGAAGAGATACCAGACAGTTAAATATATAGATCTCTTTTTCACCAATTTTTAACAGCTATAGCAATAACTAAGACAAGTTATGTTTGTCATATAGTCTAAACTCATTTTGTAACCTATTTCTCAAATATTTAAAAACAAGTCAAAAGAATATATTAAAGTTTATTCTCTAATCTGTGTTGCAACAAATTACTCAGAAGCATTAACTGTTGACTTTATATGTGGTAGATGTAGTCTCTTTTCTGCTGCTGGTGTCAAGGGGTTATTGCATGCTTACTCCTGAGCAAGCTTAACAGAATCTCCTATGGGGCTTTGGTAATCCTCCCACTCTCAATGAGACTTAATTAAACTAGTCAATGAGTGATAAAGGCCAAAGCACAGTCTTTATCAAATGAAAACTTACAGGAAGAAAAAGAATTATAAAATTCTCTATGATGTTTACTGATTTCAAAGAAAGATCAAGTTCTATCCTCATCCCTGGAGAAGGCATTCAGGTCACATAGATGTCTTAAGGATGTCCCTAAGGAAAGGTCATGCTTCTTCTCTGGTATGCTACTGTTGTGGAGTCCTTCCATTCCCATTCTTTTATGGAACCCCTTTCTATGCTGCTACCACTGCCTACTTCCCTACATACTTTCTAGTGTACTCATTATAGGAAGGCAGTAACTGTATCTCAGGTCTGATTCAGAGAATGAGCTAATTAAATGAGAGTGAAATGAGTGACTCCTGCTGACTTGTAAAGAACTCCATCTGTTATGAATTCATTCATTCATCCAAGTTGCCAGAATGCAGGGGTGAGACACCTGGCTTTTTATATCTCAGGCATCTTGCATCAAACCAAACTTGGGAGACAGTATATGTTGCAAGACCCAAATGGGAACATCAAACTACTGCAAGAATTAGACAAGCTGAAACAGAATGAAGAGTGGAGTAGAGTGAGACTACAGTCAGCTCATAAACTGTGAAGGAAAGAAAAGTGATAGAGAATGAACTAAAAGCAGAGTAGGCAAGCTCTATATCCACAACCATATGGAGTGCTAGAATTGGGCTTCTATCATATAGGGTTCACCATGCTCATTAGATCTAACCCAAGTCACTTAGTAAAGGAAAACTGAAAGTGACTACATCTCTGTCCATCTGTTTGCCCCACATGACTTCTTCCACACATAATTTTATTGGTCTGTTTTGCTTGTGCTTTAGGAGTGACAACTGGATGCAATGAACAAGATGCAGGCTGCTTGCCTGTGAGTAAATGTTCCAGCTGTTGTTTCAGAGCACAGCTGCTTACTGAATTTGAGGCAGAATAAAGCCACAGAACTGGTGGCACAGAAGGAGAGTCTGCTGTTAATCTTACACTATGCATGAAGAGGCAAAGTGCTGAACAGAGAGTGCCTGATTGTAGATGCTGCATGATCATGGGTAAAGATGACTTAAAGTAACTTTCTACAGAAAACTGGGCCACAGATTTCTTCTCTGCTTTCAGCAATGAAAACAAGTTACCTCCAATTACTGCCGAGTCACTTCGGACTGCATTTGTGAGTGGTTCGCGCTCATCTGTCTTTTCAAAGGAATCTAGAAAGAGAAAAAGACACAAAAGATAAACCTCACCTTTCAGTCAACCACAGGGAGAGAATATGCAATGTACACCTATGAAATAGTATAAAAAGGATCCTTAAGTAAGAGATGAACTAGCATTTGAAAGGAACCCAAAAATTGGCATTTAAAAATAATGACCAGAGTTCAATCCCAGAACCTGAATTAAAAGCTGAATTCATTCGGGGTCTGCAATTTGTTATCTCAGTTAAAGAGTAGCTGTCCATATATCTAGATGACATGTAGACACAAGAGGGACTGTGCATCTGAAGCAAGATAAAGAAGAGACAAGACTCCCAAATCTTTGTCCTCTCACCTCCACAGGTTTCATGACATAGTTTGTAAACATTTAAATATTTGTAAATATTTAAGAATAAATTGTACTGCTTACAACCAATAACTTAGGACTTATTATCATTAGCTTATCAGTAAGTTGTGGGATAGCCTTGAGCTGGATGAGAATGGTGCCTGAGCCATGCCCCTTCAGTCACCCCCTTAGCATTTACTTTGCAGGAGAATTCGTTGCACTGACAGCTGCCATTTACTTCAGCACACTTTCCTCTTTGCCTCAATTTACTCTCTGACTGCACGAAGACCTCAGTCTTCTGACAAGGACAACTGAAAGCACTGGAAGAACTAGCTCCTCAGAGCAGCCCTAACCAGGAAAGCAGCTGTCAGGTATATACTCTTAACCTCTGAGTTAAGCTCTTGGCCAGATTAATTTTCTTTAGAGGCTGCACCTCATATATCTCAGACTGGACTTTACCTGGCTATGAAGTGGAGGTTGACCTTGAAATTGCCATGTAATGGAGGACAGGAGACAGACAAAAGAAGAAGTGAAGAAAGCCAGAGAGAGAGCCAGACAAGAAGTGGGAGAGACAGGAATGGGGAGAGGGAGGCATGAAGTGAGGAAGAAGACAGGGAAAGAGATAGATATGGATAGAAGAAAAGAACGGGGAAGGAGAGAGGAAAGAAGATAGATAAGGGTGAAGAGAAGAAGGTAGGAAAACTTAGAGAGGAAGACAGAAATAAGACAGAGTCAGAGGGAGTCAGAATGGGACAGAGGGGAAAATTGGATGAAAGAAATAAGAAGGAAAAGAAATAGGGTAACATGATCTCAGGAAGACTGCCAGTAAATGGAAGGGATGCAGAAAGACAGAGGAAAACAGAGAAGCAGGGAGGCAAGGAAGGAGGGAGTCAGGAAGGGAGGGAGAGAAGGCAGGATGGGATGGCAGATATTTAGCTATTTCACTTCTTATGTCCTTACAACATTCTTACTCTGGGATATTTTATTTCAAACTTCCATCCTGAAATTCCCTCTGCTTCTTTATGAATACTCAAATCATAACTGTCCACAGTTCATATGACTCCTTTAGTCTTAACACAGCTCACATTGGTTCCAACTTTATTTAGCTGATGTGCTACTTTTAGCATTATAAATAACATAGTGCTGATGTTAAGCCAGATTTATCTATTTATAACATCTTTTACGTTGATAGGTTAATGCATGTTAATTTACTTTATTAACTATAATTTCCTACTGTACACTAATGCAATGAAGAAAACATTTCAGATCTGCTAAGGTGTCAGATACAGTAGTATGTTTGGTCATTGTGTTCTGCAAGTAACCTTTATTTCAGTGATGATCCATTTCCAGAGCTTTTCTCTTCACTGCTGATCTCCATTTAATATTGTATTTTAAAATCAGATCTTAGCTTTACATCCTCCAAAAATAAATGCCTTAGCTTAAGTACATGAACATGTCTATGTATCCATGCATGCACCCCTTATAATCTACTATTTATCTACATACCATCTGTCTACCAATATATTGACATACCTACAATTTCTCTATTAGAAATGTGTATATGTGTGTGTGTTTATGTATATACATACATACATACATACATACATACATACATGTATATTTGTATTCATGTATATATGTGTATGTATATTATTGTTTTCTGGCTGTTGAGTTAAATCCATTACTATATCTTGAAATTTGACTACTAAGAATTACAGTCTACAGACTTTTCTCACACCACACAGATTGTACTTTTCCTGTTGCAGATCATTCCATTTGGTGTGCAGAGCCCATTCTTCTTAGACCTAATTACACTCACTGATTTATTCTTGATTTCACTACTTACATTTTAGTTATATCAATAAAATTTAATTTTAAGACTAATATGGAGGACACATTTATAGTATTTTTGCAAGTATTCTTGTTTCAAGACTGATGACAAAGTTAAGGATTTGCACATCAAGCATTTTTTCTAGAATAAGACAATAATGCAATTGCATGATTTGCTTATTGCTGGCTTATTGCATGGAAATGAATAAAGGAATATCCTTAATGAAGGAAATGTTCTTTTCTCCAGTGCTTGCCAAATATGATCTGATCATCCATGCCTACGTCTACTCCTGGGGTCTCTGACCCATTGCCTTTGTCTATATACCTGTTTTTATAACAGTATTCTATAATTTTGCTTATTATGTTTTTCCAATATAATGTGATATCAGGGAGTGTGATGCCTATAGATGTCTATAAATCCATGACAATTTTAATGTTATTCATGATAGCTGATATGTAGAATCAACTTAAGAATGAATGGATGAGTGCATACAAATGCACAGACACATACATGAACATGAACATGTCAACATAGACTAGAATATTACTTGATCTCAAATGTTGATCTCTTTATTTAAAAATAATGTGTCTAAAACCAATATTATATCAAGTGGAATAAGTTAAACATGATAAAGAAAGGGAATGGATGATTTCACTAATATTCAGAATCTAAAAATGAAAGACAGGAAGGACTTCCTGTCTGGGCCCGAGCATAGAGCAGGTCACAGGTGGCAGCTCTGAACCCAACCCCAGAAAACCAAGAGAAAGAGGGACTCCCAGGAGCTTTAACTCAGGCAGCATCCCAGGTAAAAGTGAATCACCCATGATGTCTGCTGTTAGAAGTTCTAATCCAGATGCTTGCCTCCGAACTTATACTACTCAGATCTTTGAAGGGCGACTGACAAGAACATCAAACAGCTAGAGATTGACATCACTAATCTGAAGAAATCCCTCATTTCACTGTCTGAAGAGACCTCCTAAAATCACAAAGATCCTTATTGGACTTGATTTAATATATTACAATAGAAAAGGCTGTGTACAGCTCTTGACTGTGTACAGCTCTTAAAGAAGAAGGTTGCCTTTACATAGACAAGACAAGGAGGGTTAAAGAGAGCATGAAATAGGTCAGTGAAGGCCCTAAGAAAAATCAGAGAGAGAAAGAGACAGATGAATGCTGGTACAAGAATTGGTTTTCAGCCTCTCCAAGGTTGTCAACCCTATTTCCTCCCATCTTGGGACCATTATTTGGATTCTTTTTGCTTTTTCTGCTGGTCCATGGCCCTCAAATAGGCGGGCTAACTCTGATACAACAGATAAATAATTTGGTAGCAAAACCTACTCAGATATATTATCATAAGTTAGCTATGGAGGACCACGAGACTCAAGATGAGGTTGTTACTTTATACAGGGTGTTTCCAAAACCCATCTCCACCCAACCTAAAAGAGGGGACTTCTGCCCCTAGACCAAGCAGAGAGGGGCCACCCAGAACCCCCTCTGACAGGTGATCTGAATTCTTGCTTAGGCTGCGAGGCTAAGCACTGCAAGGGAATATAAATAAAAGATAAAAATATCTATCTGGGTTCCCTGAGGGACAAGCCTGACTGCATAGGGATTGATGTCAAAAGTATTCCCTCTCCAGGAAAAAGACATCAGGACAGATATGTCCTTCATGCCTCACTGGACAATGACAGGGGGACTGGAGCCATTACAAGGTCCCCTTCAAATACTGCAGGTCAGGCCTCTATCCCCGCCTTCACAAGTTTAGAATTGCCACAGCCCTTCTATACTTAGAGAAGGGAGGAGATGTCAGGGGCAGCCCTGCCTACACACTGAAGGCCTAAAATCAGCCATAGGCCTAAAATCAGCAATAGGCCTGTCATACATGTATACTAACACCAAGTCTTGGGTCTCTGTGGAAAAACATTGAAACAGATGGCTATAAGGTAATGTAAACAGGCAGCTTTTGTGGAAATTTATAAGCCCTAGTAGTCATAGAGCTTGTAAATAGGTAGCCTGGGCAGACGATACCAACTTAGATAAGGACAAGTGAGTCATAGGCAGAGTCATAGTGACTTGTCCCCTGAACCTTCACCCAGCCGATACCCGGTTCTGAAGATATCTGTATTCCCCTGATCACCCACATTCCAGTGTCATTCCCTTCCCCACATCCTGCCTTTCTGTGTTTATAACCCCTGTGTGAATGAATTACGATTTGAGAAAAAATAAATTATAAAAAAATTAAAAAATGAAAATAAAAATGAAAGACAGAAACAAAACATAATAGCAGAACACAGTGATGTGTTACAGTAGCTTGAGTTTTGTTAGTTAAAGAAAATTAATTTTATCATGAATAAAGACGTAAAATGAACAAGTATGATTTTAAGATCCTATGTCCTCATCAGACAACTAGAACACACAGTATAAATAGGTAAAGTTATTTATGTTCAGAATATGCATTTATGTAATTATTTGTCCACTTACTTACATATTTATTTGTGTGTATGTGTGAAAAATTGATCCATGTCTACAGGAAGGTATGTTATCCCAGTGGGGGCAATGTTGAGGCCAGAGATGTACTTTTTGTATTTTCTTTAATCATTTGTCATGGTTCTTTTTAAGACTGGATTTCTGACTGAATCACTAATTCACTAATTCATTAATTCAGACAGGTTGGCTGGTGAAGGACTCCCAGGTATCTCTACTCTTTGGCCAAGCACTGAGTTACAAGTACTCACTGCCACACCTAGATTTTTATGTGGGTGCTGGAAATTGTAACCTGAGTCCTCATGATTATATAATAAGGATTTTAGCTATTATGTCTTCTCTCTATCACCTTCCAACTAACTTAATGAAAACAATCATCGTATAATACAAAGTAACACATTTTACACTTCATATGTCTATAACTTTGTTAATACCTCCTCCAAAAATCTACAACATAATATTGAAGTTAATATTATTTAAGTGCCCATTCTGATCTTTTCATGCCCTGTAAGCAATTAGATCCTCCTATCAATTTTCTCTTAAACAATAGTGATGCACGAATGCACAAAATACATATTACAATATATGTATGATATTTATTATGTGGAAGTATACAGTAATTATAACTGTTGATCAACTGAAACTAGAAACAAACTACGTAGGTGTGGATTAATTTTATTGTTAACATTTTAATTGTTAGCCTTCAATCATATAAATGCACAGTATGTAAATATTGCTAAGTTTCATACTTAAAATTTATTATAAATTAAAGTAATTGCTATTCCAGAATTAATATCCTTCTATTGTCTATTCTTGTTCAGCATTGTTTGTGTGATGGTTAGTGTTAATATCAATTGGAGAAGATCTAGAATCACTTAGATGATTGGTTCTGGATATGTTTGTGGCATTATCTTGATTTCTTAACTGAGCTAAGAAGAGCTGCTCACTGTTATTAGCACCAGTCCCTGAATGGGACACTGGACTGTATAAATGGAGAATGATCTGAATACTAGCATGTATATATCATTCTCTGCTTCCTGATAATGGATGTGATATGACCTGCTACCTCAAACTCCTATCATCTATGATGGACTGGACACTTGAACTGTGAAGCAGAATGCATTATTTCCTTCTTAATTTACTTATCTGAGTGCATTTTGTAAAATAGATATGACTCAAAAGAAGTCAGTTACTATTCATAACCACCTATAATCATACAAAGCAAAGGGCTAAGTGCTATTCACCAACACTTTAGCTCTAAAAGACAGCAGAAATTAATAATGAAAACTCAAGAGAGATTTCCCTGGGAAGTACCTGATGAAGAATGCACAGTGGTTACTGCATTCACATCAGAATCCACCATAGATCCACAGCTGGATTCTGTCAAAGTTTTTTGTACAGTCACAGGTGCAATGCTGGCATGGCGGAGGGCTGCCTTCAGTGGTGCTATATGATTGTATTGGACTGAAGAAAGGCATCCAATGAAACCCAAGGTGTTTGCTTGAGCAACTTCTGGATCCAAATCAAGAGTATCTGCAATGAATAAAAAGAAACACAGGTCTTAGTTTTTCCAAATGGTCTATGTGGTTTTTTTTTTTGACTATTAACTAAAATAGCTGAAACATCATTTTTTTTTTGAATATGGAAACTTCTTATGTATCTCTCTTCCTCTTTTTCTCAGCTACATATTTACTGGAGGTGACACTGGAGGTGTCAATACTTCATTCAACTACATCTCATAGAGAAGAGCTATGATGATCTCTGCTTTTAAAACAAAAATGTTACAAGCTTAAATTTTTTAGTTCATGTATTTCATGAACTGTTAAAAGAGTAATGTAGCTCTATCATACTCCAATCAAACTCTAGATATTTGAAAGAATTTTGTAACTCTGTTTCCACCATGATTTATCTATTAATGCAGGTGATTAACACAAGAAAATCACAATGCTGATCACAACATTTAATTCACAATTATAACAAAGGAACATGATAATAAGAAAACAATAGGATTAGAAATGAAAGCAGGTCTCCCAGAGATGTATCATGTTTGTTGACTCAAGGTCCCTGAGTAGGCTTAGTGAAGAAATATTTCTTTCTGCAATACTTCTTCATAGTATTGGTTGGTCACTAATGGGGAAATTTTTTTGTTTACAAAATACCTCTAGTATTTTTGAGTATTTATAAGAGATGGCAATGCAGCCTCGGCACCCCATTTTCCTGGCTACAGGTTTGTCTCATTTCCTGGAGGCCTGCTGCTACCAATGACATCAGGTGAGTTCCAACTCACAAACTCCTGCTTGCTGGCTCCCTTGAAAAGAAAGCAGCCTTAAGGTCAGTCCTTTCCCCCTTTATGCTCTATCTTCTTGTCCAAACCTCTAAACATAATCTTAGACATCCACAGCTGTCACGGACCAACAGTTGAGAACCTTACTCCAATTTCCTGCCTGCAAGGCCCTCTGGACAATTCTAGTAGCAGCAAACTCCAATTGCTCCTTCTGTATTCCATTTCACTCGGCAGAGTTCTGCATGAATCCCTGTAGATCTGTTGCTGCCAGAGACAACCAGGTGAGTTTCTCAAGCCCTGAACTTCATCTTCTGGTCCACACATCTAATTACAATCCCAGACACTTGCAGCAATCAGCAATCATTAGGTGAGATCCCCTACTCAAACTTTTTGCCTCCCTGCCATCCTGGGCAAACCCAGGAACAGTGAGTTCTACCCAGGCTCCTTTGAAATCCCAGTCAACAACTCCTTCTACATCCCTGGAAGTCTGTAGCTGCCTAGGACAAACATCAGAGAACACCACCTTTATTTGCATCCCCAGAAGCCTGCCCACCACTTTGGACAACCAGAGGTGTAGAACAATCAGGGTCTATAAGCAATGCTTGCATCCCTAGAAGCCTTCATCTACTAAGAATCAGCAACCCCAGATGCCTGTTAATGTCAGGGACTACCAGCTCTACCTGCAGGCCCAGAGGCCTACTCCCATCAGGAACTGCTAGGCCTATCAAAACTAGGGACAAGCAGATGGCTAAGGCCAGTATAAGAACACAATCTCAAAAGGCAGGGCAATACGGTACCATCAGAACCCAGCTATCTTACTACAGCAAGACCTGATTATTCTAACACATTTGAATCCCAACAAGATGACTTTAAATCCAATCTTACGAAGATGATAGATGCCTTTAAAGAAGAAATACGTAAGTCCCTTAAAGAAATACAGGAAAATACAATCAGGTAGAGACACTTAAATAGGATACAAACAAATAAAAAGAAACACAGGAGAATATAAGAATACAGGTGAAAGAAATAAATACAACTGTTCAAGATCTGAAAATAAAATAGAAACAATAAAGAAAACACAAATTGAGCCAATCCTGGAGAGGGAAAACCTGGGAAGGAAAATAGAAATTACAGACGTAAGCATCACAAAAAGAATACCAGAGTGGGAAGAGAGAAATCCAGGCATAGAAAAAACTGATAAATCAGTCAAAGAAAATGCTAAAGCTAAATTCCAGAAAATGTGGGACACTCTAAAAAGACCAAACCTAATAAATAATAGGAATAAATGATGTACAAGAGTCCCAACTCAAGGCCCAGAAAATATATTCAATAAAATCATAAAAGAAACATTCCCTAATCTAAAGAAAGAGACCCATATAAATGTACTAGAAGTTTACAGAACATCAAATAGACTGGAGTAAAAAAGTAAATCTTCACAGCACATAACCAAAACGCTAAATGTTTAGAGCAAGGAAAAATACTAAATGACTCTGAGATTCCACCTTACACTCATCAGAATTGCTAAGATCAAAAACTGAATGGACAACACACGCTTATGAAGTTGTGGAGCAAGGAGAACACTCCTCTACTGCTGGTGGAAGTTCTAACTTGTACAGCCACTCTGGAAAACAACTTTTCGATTCCTCAGAAAATTGGTAATAGTTCTACCTATACTACTCCTGAGTACATATCCAAAAGATGCTGCACCATCCTACAAGGACTCTTGATGAACTATGTTCATAGCAACTCTACTTGTAAAGGCCAGAAACTAGAAACAATGTACATGTACTTCAATTGAAGAATGCATAAAGCAAATGTGGTTCATTTACACAATGGAATACTACTCAGCTATTTTTTAAAAAACATAATGAAATTTGCAGGCAAATGGATGGAACTAGAAAATATCATCTTGAGTGAGAGGATATACCTTAAGGGGGCACTTCCTACCTATGAGAAATCCCAATAATAACACAAAAGCAGAAAAGAAAATATCATACTAACTGAGGTAAACCAGACCCAAAAGAATAAGCATGGGTACTCACTTATAAATGGATATTAACCATAAAGTCCAGGATAACCACTCTACAATTCACCAATCCAAAGAAGCCAAATAACAAGGAAGACCTGAAGGGGATAGTTGAATCTTTCTAAGAAAGGGAAACAAAGTAGACATAGGAGTTGGATGGAGAGAGGGGAGCTAGAAGGCAGAGGAAATGGGGAAGGGAGGGAAGTGGGACGGGGGTTAGGGATCAGTAGTAGGGAACGTAGGGGAGAGTAAGTGGAAACTGGCTGTCCAGAGGTCAGCTCTAGGACATGTCAAAGATCTGGGACTGAGGAAGACACTATTATGTCTATGAAGGTGACTGTTTCTGAGACCCTAGCAATGTGGCATATGGATACTGAAATGGTCACTTCCTGTAGCCAGACAGGACTCCCAGTGGAGGGATGAGGACAGTAACACACCCACAAAATCCTCAATGCACAAGGTGCCCTGCCTATAAGATACGCAGGGACAAAAAGAGCAGAGAAAGAAGGAATGGTCAAACCATGACTGGCCCAAGTTGATACCCATCTCATGGGCAGGAACCAGTCCTTGACACTATCACTATGCTTGAGTATTATTAAAGTCTTTTATGCTTGCAGACAGGAGTGTAGCATAACTTTCCTCTGAGAGGCCACACCCAGCAGCCAATTGAAATAGATGCAGAGACTCACAGTCAAACATTAGATGGAGCTCTGGGGAGTC